GTTTTACCAGCCAGTTCTACTCTCCAGCAGCAAACGTTGTTAATTAAGTAATTTATGCTTATAGAACATATGCATATTTATTCACACACTTAACTTTCATTGTACAAAAATGGGATGGTGTTATATGAATTGTATGCAATTTGATATTTTAAAATATCATTCCTTGCCAATACCTATAAAACTATATAATTTATTTTTAGGTGTCACTTTTATAAACAATGGGTACTGAGATTTCTAGTATTTTGTCAATGGTGCTAAAAGTTATTGGCCTAAATTCCTACTCTTAGTACTCATGGCTTATAGCGTTTGTCATTTTAAATTTCAGTAGATTATTTTGGTAGAGTCTACCAAATTGTCTACAAAATTTGTGGTAACAATTTCCTCACCCACAAACATTGTACGAAAATGTCCATCTTCCTCACCATTGGCATTACGAGATATTGTCAGTCTTAAAAATTTTTTTGTCCTTCTGCATGTAAAAAATTTACAAGTTCCTTTCCCATTCTGGTCTTCTCTAATGCAGCACGTCCCAGACTTGAGGATTTTATTAAAATTAATTAATGATAGGGGAAAATCCCTTGAAATTGATGTGTTTGGCAAGCAGGAAATGACCTTCCCTTCCACCCCAATCTTAGAATGTCAGTATCTTTTCATTAAAGAACATAGCTTAATCTTGGTAGGGTTAGGGCTTCCCTGGTGGCGCAGTGGTTAAGAATCTGCCTGCCAATGCAGGGCACATAGGTTTGAGCCCTGGTCTGGGAAGATCCCACATGCCACGGAGCAACTAAGCCCGTGCACCACAACTACCGAGCCTGCACTCTAGAGCCCACGAGCCACAACTACTGAAGCCCACGCGCCTAGAGCCTGTGCTCCGCAACAAGAGAAGCCACTGCAATGAGAAGCCCGCGCACTGCAACGAAGAGTAGCCCCCGCTCTCCACAACTAGAGAAAGCCCGTGCACAGCAACAAAGACCCAATGCAACCAAAAAAAAAAAAAAAAAATCTTGGTAGGGTTATAAAGGACATAATTTCAGAATTTAAAAATATTGAAAAAAAATTATTTCATCGTAGACCAGAAACCCTTTGTCATGGACCAGCTCTAGTCTGCAGACCCGTGTAGGAAACCACTGATGTAATACATGTTTAAGCAGCTTTATTTGGACACTTTTCTCTTTCCTTGAAAATTTTGGGAAGTACATAATGTCCATTTTTTTAGTTACCTTATAATTTATCAGAGGTCCATAAATCTTTTGTCTTAAGTCACAAGCCCTCCTCCAAACTCTGTCCTTGACACTACATCAGTTGTCAGGTGTCAGCCTTGTGCTCTTTCTTTTCCAAAGTCAGACACTTTGCACTGAGGAGATGAAAATATTGTCTGCAACCACACGTCCTTCAGAGTCCTCTTTGTCCCAGGTTTCTTCTGGTTGTATAATTTGTTCTCACATGTATCAACTAAAGGTTGCCTATAACAAACTCTGCATCAGGCCTCAGAACACACTGGAGGAAGGAGCATCATTAGCAAGGTCAGGTTTGCAGAGGGCTCCTCCTACCGCATTAAGAGTCACCAACCAGGAGAATGTGGTCTTGTCTTCCTGGGTTGGGGGAAGCCTCTGTGCATCTGTTGGCATCAATGAATCCTTAGTATTCTGTCTAGGAATTCATTATTCTCGCAGGTGCCAAGCTGAGATTGTCTTTCCTCCTCAACCCTAGTGAAGAGTGATGTTTAGTAGGATAAAGGCAAAGGCTTTTCTAGTATAATAATGCTGAGCTTACGCTATGAAAAACAGTCAACATGAGCAAGTGAAGAAATGGTTCATCTTGAGCTATTTCACCTGGATGGGGTTGGCACGGACCCTCAAAATCTCAAGCATCTCACTTGCTTTCTCCAGATAGACCAGGACCCTGGGGGAGGGGGTGGAGATCAGAGAAAAAGGACCCTCCAGACCCCATCTAAGAAGGACTTGGTGTGAACTGACAGGTCACATGATGAGAAAAGTGATGTTTTGCACCATTCATTGGACACTTATCAGCCAATAGGATTATTTTCTATCTGCTCACAAACTACCTGCAGCTGTGAGATTTCAGCGTGACATGCCAGAGTGGACAGAGGTATTCATCAACATTTCACCACCCTTTTGGCAATGAAACCAGACTGCATTTTTAGCACACGTATTTCAGTGTCTATCTCCCAAAGAGGAAGTTATATTTAGCATTTCCTGCTAGCCACTGAACAGTGCAAGACCTCTGGGTCTGGAGTTAGTCACAGCCCTTTATGTCTATCTGTGGAATCCCTCCTTGTAAACTGCTAGGGCTTTGAGGAGCCCGAGTTTATAGCATGAACTCTTACCATAAATCCTTAAAACCCACCAGGAAAGGTGCTGATTGGGTAGTATGTTCATAGTGACTTCTTAGTCCCAGCCCTGGGAACATTAGGAATGCCCCAGTCAGATGGAGTGTGTGTGTGTGTGTGTGTGTGTGTGCACATGCTTGCATGCATCCGTGTGTTTGGGCATGGTAGTGTAAATGGGGCACTCTGGGTGACCTTCTTCAGACTTTTTAAAAAAAAATTTTATTGGAGTATAGTTGATTTACAATGTTGTGTTAGTTTCTGCTGTACAGCAATGTGACTCAGTTATACATATATCCACTCTTCTTTAGATTCTTTTCCCATATAGGTCATTACAGAGTACTGAGTAGAGTTCCCTGTGCTATACAGTAGGTCCTTATTAGTTATCTATTTTATATATAGTAGTATGTATATGTCAATCCCAATCTCCCAATTTATCCCTCTTCCTTTCCCCCCGGTAACCGTAAGTTTGTTCTCTACATCTGTAACTCTACTCCTGTTTTGTAAATAACTTCATTTGTACCCTTAGACTCTTCTTGTACCTACTCCTGAGGAATGTGTTTGCATTGCGTTGGGTTTGGGAAAATCAGATCAGCATGTTATGCAGCCTCCCAAAGAGAGGAGCGAACAGGAGATGAACTTTCAGGGCCATAGGCCCTACTTTTCCACATGGATCTTCTGGGTCAAGGGTCAGAGACACAGGGTCCCTTAGACCAGTACCTGCAGACAGGGGGCCTCAGAATCTTCTAGGGGATGTGTTTAAATGCAGATGTCATGGTCAAACTCCACCCAGGTATACTGAATCAAACTCTGGAGTATACAGCCGAGGAATTTATATTTAAAAAAATACCCTAGATTGTTTTGTGATGTGAGTGGGTTTGCTGACTACTGCCTTACTTGGCCCTTCCTGCAAGGGGATGGTAGCAGCACTCAGCGTTGACATCAAGTCTTTTTGATTTTACCTCCGAAACATTTCTTGCATCTTCTCTGCATGTCCACTAATCACTGGCCAAGTCCAAGCTACCAGCATCACTGGCCTGGACCACTCCGTGGCCTCAAAGTTTCCCCTGCAGGGACTCATCCCCCTCCAATCGGTACTCAACACAGCAGCCAGAGTGGTCCTTTCCAGTCTCAAGTCAGATTCTGTCACACTCCCCACCCTACCCTGACCCTCACTCCAGTTATTATTTTTTTCTTTTTCCTTTCTTTTTTCTTTTTTCCTTTGGCTGCACCACACGGCATGCGGGATCTTAGTTCCCTGACCTGGGATCAAACCTGTGCCCCTGCAGTGGAAGCATGAAGTCTTAACCACTGGACCGCCAGGGAAGTCCCGCTCCAGTTATTTCTTTCCATCGCTTTTAGGATGAACACGACGTTCTTCTCACAGTCAGAGGACCTGCAGGACTGGATCCGCACCCTATACCTCATTTCACAGCCATTGTTCCTGCTAATAGATCTCTCCACAGACCTGCCCCCCCCCCCACTCCTTTCACCTGCTCTTCCTTCAGGCTCAGCTGTCATCACTTCCCCAGGGACGCCTTCCCAACCTCTCAAGGGCTGCACTTTTCAGTTGCAATTTTTTACTAATCGATGCAATAATCTGATTAAACACGAGTCTTCATGTAGAATGTAATTTCCCATGGAGGCAGGGACCACATTTCTTCACTATCACAGCCCTAGTGCTTGGCTCTAAATACCTGTCCTCAGGACTTCCCTGGTGGTCCAGTGGTTAGGACTCGGCACTCTCACTGCCGGGACCCCAGGTTCGATACCTGGTTGGGGCACTAAGATCCCATAAACCGAGTGGCAAGGCCAAAACAAAAACAAAAACAAAAACCTGCCCTCGCCTCCATATGGCAGGTGTTGTCCATCAAGCAATCTTCAGTCAGAGAATATGCAGGGTCCTCGGATAGACCAGAGCTTTGTAATTATACCCAGGAGTTCCATTCATTTGTTCATTCATTCATTCATGATGACAAATGTAGGATTAAGTGCCATTTTGAGCTGGTAAATTCTGGGCCTAGCTGGAGTCAGCCAGCACAGCAGGCACCGCTGGTAATGATTTGAACATGTCTGAACACTTGGCATGCCTCACTTCCCTTGGCTCAATCAAAATAAACATCTACTGAACATGAACTAGGCGCCAGACGTGCCCCCTGTCCTTAAGCAGCTTGTGATCTAGGGAGGAAAGACAGACACGAAACAAGTGACTACAAGTTTATGAGTTTTACCAAGGGGCATTCGAGTGTGCCTTGGAGACACAGAAGAGGGGGTGCGAGTCTAGTCTAGGGGTTCAGGGGAAAGCTTCCCTGCAGAAGGAATATTTGAGTTGAGGTTGAGGGTGAGTAGGAGTTAGAATAGGCCCTAGGGAGCAGTCCAGGTGAAGGCCAAGGTGAACTTCAGATGATAGGGCTATTTAATGGGCAGTAGGGAGCACCCAGTTCAGCCTAATTCTCCTGTGAGTTGGGGCTTGGCCCATCCAGCCCTTATCCATCCTCTTAAGGGGCAGATGCTGCACTAAACGGGACAGGGAGTCGAGTGGCCTGTGCGTGGGTACCTCTCGGGGCTCCCTCCTCTGACTCAGGCGGCACAGGAGCTGTTGTGAATTCAGCACCACTCTTGTTGGAGCAATATTAAACATCATCACCAAAGGCAGTTTTGACTCATTTATTTATTAATATAGAAAAGGAGCCCAAGGCAGCTGGACCAGTAGTACAAAGCACCAGGAGTTAATACTATTCTGGTGAAAGGGTTGGCTTTACAAAAGTGAAGGAGTAGGCAAGAGCTGCCCTGGTTCTGGGGCCAGGCCCAGCCTACTGCCCAGAACCTCGGAGCAGCACCTGGAACCAGCTGCTGGGAGAGAGTGACGGGGGGTCGGGGGCTGATGAGCTGGAGACCAGAAGGACAGGTGGCAGGGATGGAGGGCCAGGCAGTGAGAACCATCCTGTGGCTGATGAGGACAGGCAACTGCCGGCTGGAGGCTCCCCACTGGACCCTGGGCGGAGGCTCACGTGAGCCTCAGCTCCGGGGGCAGGTAGAAAAACCCTGCGGATACTAGAGAGGATGGGGATCCAGACACGGCTCAGGGTTGAAGGGCCTTTCCCTTCTCTCCACCAGGGGCCACCTTTCTCAACACTATGGGTGGGGCTTCAGGGCCCAAGGCACAGAGGGAGGCCCAGAGGCCTCCCAGCGGGAGGAAGAGGGGGCAGAAAGGAAGCACTTGAATGTTCCCAGCTTAGGCAGCTGGGGCTGAGACACAGGGCAGGCAAACAGCACCCCCGTACAATGAGGCTGGAATGCAGGGCTGGGTTGGGCTTATCCTCAGCCAGGACCAGCCCCATGGCAATGGTGCTTGCCTCAAACCTTAGCAAACAGAGTCTGCTGTGAGCACTGGCTCTCAGCATGCCAGCTCTCAGGGTGCCAGCCCTAGCTCTCCTGGAACAGAGCTGTCTCACCATGGACCAGCCATGCCCTGCCCTGCCCTGGGCCTCCTCTGTTAATGAGGGCTTTGGATATGACCTCTCAGGTCACGGGAGCTGCAGGACCTGCTCTTGGTACTTAAGTGGGAACCAGTCCCAACCAGACTCCGGACAGAACTGGCATGGGCCGGGGGGCCGGGGGTGACGGGGGAGGAAGATGTTCCTGCACGGAACTTACCCCACACACACTCCAGAGCCAGGAAAGGCCACTGAGAGCCTCTCCTTCGCCCAGGGGAGGCGGCCGCCCTCCCTTTGGCACAGGGGGGACGCAGCTTGGTGTGACCCTTCATAACCACACCTGGGTAACACTCGGCATGGAGAGAATGGGGTGGCACTCTGCAAGCCTTTATGCTCTTCCCTGGGGTGGGGAGCTCAAGGCCACTTGTGGCTTTTGCCTCTAGCCCTTAGCGTAGAGAGGAGTGCTCTCCTTCTGTGGTCCTGCCCTGGGGACAGCCCGAGACTCTGCCTGGCTGGCACATGTTAGTTGGTCAGGAAGGGACAGAGGGGTAAGTAAGGAGACAGGGAGGTGAGAGTGAATCTCTGGCTTTCTCCTTGCCCTCTAGGGAGAGCAGCTCAATCAACCGAGTCGCAGATCTCCTCCACCACTGCGTTGAAGATGTGTGGCTGGTCCGCGTACACGTGGTGTGAGGCGCCCTCGATCTCCTGTGGATGGAGGACCCCACCAGGGGCGGGACAGCCCTTTATTCAAGGCACTGGAAAGCTATTGCACCATTTCTTTTTCCCTTAAGCCTGCTTGCCCGTCGCCCATGAGCACTTACTTTATCTAAGACAACAGTCCACCTTTCTCCCCAGATCTTGGCACTTCCCTGTGGGAGTCAGTGAATCCCAATATCCCATCCTTACTTCTCCCATGGCGCCTGATTTTATCTTTCCTTCCATGCCAGCCCCTCCAGCGACCTGCTCATGTCAGCGACCTGCTCATGTCATCCACATGTCCACTAAAGCAGGGCCCATCAGGCACCAGCCTAATTAAGGATACTCATTAGCAAATGAAGGTGGGGGGGGCGGAGGAGTGTGGTGGGAAGGCTTCATGGCAGCCTCTACAGTTCCCAGCTCTGGTTTGGGGTGGGAATTACAGGGGGTGGAGGGACAGCATGGTGCCTGTGCCTGACTACTGGACAAGAATCTGCCTTTCAGCTGAACTGAGCTACACAGAAGTGAGAAGCCCCTAATTATGATTTTACAGAGAGCCAGCCCTTTCAAATCCACTACCATAGCTCAACCTGTCCACTCCTCTTTCCCCCCGACTCTCCCATCACCCTTCGCTACCCTGACTCAGCTACTCTGGGTCAGTCAACACGTGCTGGGATGTTGCAGTGTTTCCACCTCAATCCTGCTCCTCCAGTGGCCAACGTACCATGTCTCGGACGTAGGAATCCGGCCGCTGCAGCTTCACCTTTTTTCCCGTGCTGGTGTCTATCCAGGTGTTGGCCCCGTAGATCATGGTGATGGGCATTTCTTTTTGAATCAAGTGAATTCGCTCTAACATGGGTCGCCGGGCCCAGCCGAAGGACTCCATCATGGTTTTGAATGCTGTCTCCCCGCTGAAGAAGCAAAACAGGGTGAGGCAATGAATAAACGCCACAGCCTAAAATGTCAGTTTGTTGATCTCAGAGGCTGGGGAAGTATCTTTGTCATTCTTTGTGGTCCTCTCAGAGCCCAGCACTGGGCTCATTAAATATTAGGAAGATTAGGAGACAGGACTGAATCTCCAGAGGCTCCCATCACAGATGAGTTAGGAGGGACACACTTGTGAAAACCCCATGGCACTGAGAATTATCCAAGAGCCTAATAGGTTACTGTTTATTCAACAAATATTTATGTGGCATCCCGGAGCTGAGGGTGGGGACATATGAACAAGACAGACACAGTGCCTGCCCTCCTGGAGCTCACATTATCTTCATACTTTAGGCATAAATAATGAATTATATGATTAACTTAACTTCAAATTTCCCAAGAATTATGAAAGGGTGGCGGAGTTCTAGGAGAACACAGACTAGGGACTTGGCTTCCTGGGGCTGAAGGAGAGGGTCAGGGGGTTCACTTGGGGTGCGCTCTGATGAGCAAGTACTACAGAAGCACAAAGGGCTTGCTGAAGAGAATGGAATGAAACGTTAGTCTTGTGAGGACCTGGGGGGAGCAGCAGTTTGTGCGACTTGAGAAGCAATGATGGCCAATCTAATCTCCTTTGCTCCCTGGCCATTTCCTTAGGGAGAGCTAACCGAGGCTGTGTCACGAGGGGTCTGCAAGGCTGGGGCAGAAGCCAGCTGTCCAGGTTGCTCTCCTGGGAAGCAGGAGAGGTTGGGGACACCGCCACCCAGCAGGCTCAGCCTGTTTGGGAATTATATCCCCAGTCTCCTTTGCACCCCTGAGATGAAAGAGAGCCTGGGTTCTGCACAGGCCACCAGAAACAGGGCTCCTCCTTAAGGCAGTGCAGCATAGTGGAAAAATCATGGACTCTGGAGTCAGAGAGACATGAGTTCAAATCCTGGCTGTAGTTTCTAAGCAAGTCATGTAAACAAGAATACACCTTAATTTTCTCATTTACAAGCTGGGAGGAGTTATACCCACTTTATTAGGTCATTGTGAAGAAAATGAAAATATGTACAAAGCCCCTAAATCTAGGTGAAGCAAAGTAGGTACCCCATCCCCCAAGTATTCTTCTTTGGCCAAATCGTATGTTTTCCAAGGGAATGGTAAGAGTTACCATGAGCTCATGAGGGTTACAACTCAGGAAGACTCGGGGGCTTATAAAATTGAGTGATGGTGTTTGGGGGAAGGGGCTGGTTATCACTGATGTCATCTCTGCTTCTTCTAGGACCTGAATGAGGTGTGTGATTATGTACTCTGTGGCTTAGATTGGGAGGCCATTCATTATATGGAACTAGGTCTGGGACTGGGGAATGCTCTGAGGAAAGGGCTAGGGGTGGGCCTGCAGGGTCTCAGAGGGTATGAGACTGGCACTGAGCCCAGTGGGAGCTGAGAGGAGTTGAGAGCAGGAAGCAGTGGGCTTCCTGATTTGACTGTTGAGCTGAGTTTCTATACTGCTGCTTAAGCAGGGTCCTTCAATCAGCTGGGCTCCTGAGGAATGTTGGATGAACAGTTCCCACGCTGCCTGAAAGCTGTCTGGGTTTGACGCTAATGCCCAGACAGCACTGCTGGAATGCAAAACCCCAGTTGCTTCACAGCTTTTGGCTGAACAGTCCTGAAATGAGGCATGGCAGTGCTGCTGCTCCCAATGACCTTGGCTCCCCTGAGATGCCTCCCAGTAGTGTGGGGTGAGGCCCCCACAGAGGTGGTGCCTCATGGTATCAGCCACTCACATGGCACTGCCTGAGGGGAAGACTACCTCCCTGACTCTGCCCTGGATGGCAGTTGTCAAGACTGTAGATCAACAGGCTTCTGGGGCCTATGTCTGAGTTGTCATAGATATAAACTTCTAGAGATTCTGCGGACATCCCCAAATCCCCCAAAGATAGGGAAGGCATTCCTATCCCAACAGTAAGTATTTCAAGGTGCACATAATTAAATTTTTAAATGCATAATCCATCAGCAGTTCTATTTGTAGGACTGTAGTCTAGAGATAGTCACATGTGTGCAAAGGAAGATACATAAGGAGGTTCCCTGAAGCAATATCACATGATATCTCAGACCTAAACTAACAAGAAGATTCAGGAATTACAGGTCTGGGACAGGAGAAGACTTTCTTTCTTTTTTTTTTTTTTCTTTATAAAAATACCATGTTCAGAGAAGGAAAAAGAACTACAATCCTGCAGCCTGTGGAACAAAAACCACATTCACAGAAAGATAGACAAGATGAAAAGGCAGAGGGCTATGTACCAGATGAAGGAACAAGATACAACCCCAGAAAAACAACTAAATGAAGTGGAGATAGGCAACCTTCCAGAAAAAGAATTCAGAATAATGATAGTGAAGATGATCCAGGACCTCGGAAAAAGAATGGAGGCAAAGATGGAGACAATGCAAGAAATGTTTAACAAAGACTTAGAAGAATTAAAGAGCAAACAAACAGAGATGAACAATACAATAACTGAAATGAAAACTACACTAGAAGGAATCAATAGCAGAATAACTGAGGCAGAAGAACGGATAAGTGACCTGGAAGACAGAATGGTGGAATTCACTGCTGCGGAACAGAATAAAGAAAAAAGAATGAAAAGAAATGAAGACAACCTAAGAGACCTCTGGGACAACATTAAACGCAACAACATTCGCATTATAGGGGTCCCAGAAGAAGAAAGAGAGAAAGGACCCGAGAAAATATTTGAAGAGATTATAGTCGCAAACTTCCCTAACAGGGGAAAGGAAACAGCCACCCAAGTCCAGGAAGCACAGAGTCCCATACAAGATAAACCCAAGGAGAAACACGCCGAGACATGTAGTAATCAAATCAGCAAAAATTAAAGACAAAGAAAAATTATTGAAAACAGCAAGGGAAAAATGACAAATAACATACAAGGGAACTCCCATAAGGTTAACAGCTGATTTCTCAGCAGAAACTCTACAAGCCAGAAGGGAGTGGCATGATATACTTAAAGTGATGAAAGGGAAGAACCTACAACCAAGATTACTCTACCCGGCAAGGATCTCATTCAGATTCAACAGAGAAATCGAAAGCTTTACAGGCAAGCAAAAGCTAAGAGAATTCAGCACCACCAAACCAGCTCTACAACAAATGCTAAAGGAACTTCTCTAAGTGGGAAACACAAGAGAAGAAAAGGACCTACAAACACAAATGCAAAAAACTAAGAAAATGGTCATAGGAACATACATATCGATAATTACCTTAAACATGAATGGATTAAATGCTCCAACCAAAAGACACAGGCTTGCTGAATGGATACAAAAACAAGACCCATACATAAGCTGTCTACAAGAGACCCACTTCAGACCTAGGGACATATACAGACTGAAAGTGAGGGGGATGGAAAAAGATATTCCATGCAAATAGAAATCAAAAGAAAGCTGGAATAGCAATACTCATATCAGATAAAATAGATTTTAAAATAAAGAATGCTACAAGAGACAAGGAAGGACACTACATAATGATCAAGGGGTCAATCCAAGAAGAAGATATAACAATTATAAATATATATGCACCCAACATAGGAGCACCTCAATACATAAGGCAACTGCTAACAGCTGTAAAAGAGGAAATCGACAGTAACACAATAATAGTGGGGGACTTTATCACCTCACTTACATCAATGGACAGATCATCCAAAATGAAAATAAATAAGGAAAAACAAGCTTTAAACAACACAATAGACCAGATAGATTTAATTGATATTTATAGGACATTCCATCCAAAAACAGCAGATTACACTGTCTTCTCAAGTGCGCACAGAACATTCTCCAGGATAGATCACATCTTGGGTCACAAATCAAGCCTCAGTAAGTTTAAGAAAATTGAAATCATATCAAGCATCTTTTCTGACCACAATGCTATGAGATTAGAAATGAATTACAGGGGAAAAAACGTAAAAAACACAAACACATGGAGGCTAAACACTATTTTACTAAATAATCAAGAGATCACTGAAGGAATCAGAGAGGAAGTCAAAAAATACCTAGAGACAAATGACAATGAAAACATGACAATCCAAAACCTATGGGACGCAGCAAAAACAGTTCTAAGAGGGAAGTTTATAGCTATACAAGCCTACCTCAAGAAACAAGAAAAATCTTAAATAAACAATCTAACCTTACACCTAAAGGAACTAGAGGAAGAAGAACAAACAAAACCCAAAGTTAGCAGAAGGAAAGAAATCATAAAGATCAGAGCAGAAATAAATGAAATAGAAACAAAGAAAACAATAGCAACGATCAATAAAACTAAAAGCTGGTTCTTTGAGAAGATAAACAAAATTGATAAACCATTAGCAAGACTCATCAAGGAAAAGAGGGAGGGCTTCCCTGATGGTGCAGTGGTTGAGAGTCTGCCTGCCAATGCAGGGGACATGGGTTTGTGCCCTGGTCCAGCAGGATCCCACATGCCGCGGAGCGGCTGGGCCTGTGAGCCATGGCCGCTGGGCCTGTGCGTCCGGAGCCTGTGCTCCGCAACGGGAGAAGCCACAACAGTGAGAGGCCCGCATACCACAAAAACAAAAACAAAAACCAAACAAAACAAAAAAAGAAAAAGAGGGAAAGAACTCAAATCAATAAAATTAGAAATGAAAAAGAAGAAGTTACAACAGACACTGTAGAAATACAAAGCATCCTAAGAGACTACTACCAGCAACTCTATGCCAATAAAATAGACAACCTGGAAGAAATGGACAAATTCTTAGAAAGGTATAGCCTTTCAAGGCTGAACCAGAAAGAAATAAAAAATATGAACAGACCAATCACAAGTAATGAAATTGACACTGTGATTAGAAATCTTCCAACAAACAAAAGTCCAGGACCAGATGGCTTCACAGGTGAATTCTATCAAACATTTAGAGAAGAGCTAACACCCATCCTTCTCAAACTCCAAAAAGTTGCGGAGGAAGGAACACTCCCAAACTCATTCTATGAGGCCACCATCACCCTGATACCAAAACCAGACAAAGGTACTACAAAAAAAGAAAATTACAGACCAATATCACTGCTGAATATAGATGCAAAAATCCTCAACAAAATACTAGCAAACAGAATCCAACAACACATTACATACACCATGATCAAGTGGGATTTATCCCAGGAATGCAAGGATTCTTCAATATATGCAAATCAATCAATATGATACACCATATTAACAAACTGAAGAATAAAAACTATATGATCATCTCAATAGATGCAGAAAAAGCTTTTGACAAAATTCAACACCCATTTATGATAAAAACTACAGAAAGTGTGCATAGAGGGAACCTACCTCAACATAATAAAGGCCATATATGACAAACCCACAGCAAACATCATTCTCAATGGTGAAAACCTGAAAGCATTTCCTCTAAGATCAGGAACAAGACAAGGATGTCCTCTCTCACCGCTATTATTCAATGTAGTTTTGGAAGTCCTAGCCATGGCAATCAGAGAAGAAAAAGAAATAAAAAGAATACAAACTGGAAAAGAAGAAGTAAAACAGTCACTGTTTGCAGATGACATGATACTATACATAGAGAATTCTAAAGATGCCACCAGAAAACTACTAGAGCTAATCATTGAATTTGGTAAAGTTGCAGGATACAAAATTAATGCACAGAAATCTCTTGCATTCCTATACACTAATGATGAAAAATCTGAAAAAGAAATTAAGGAAACACTCCCATTTACCACTGCAACAAAAAGAATAAAATACCTAGGAATAAACCTAGGGAGACAAAAGACCTGTATGCAGAAAACTATAAGACACTGATGAAAGAAATTAAAGATGATACCAACAGATAGAGAGATATACCATGTTCTTGGATTGGAAGAATCAATATTGTGAAAATGACTATACTACCCAAAGCAATCTACAGATTCAATGCAATCCCTATCAAATTACCAATGGCATTTTTTATGAACTAGAACAAAAAAATCTTAAAATTTGTATGGAGACACAAAAGACTCTGAATAGCCAAAGCAGTCTTGAGGGAAGAAAATGGAGCTGGAGGAATCAGACTCCCTGACTTCAGACTATACTACAAAGCTACAGTAATGAAGACAATATGGTACTGGCACAAAAACAGAAACATAGATCAATGGAACAAGATAGAAAGCTCAGAGGTAAACCCACGCACCTATGGTCAACTAATCTATGACAAAAGAGGCAAGGATATACAATGGAGAAAAGACAGTCTCTTCAACGAGTGGTGCTGGGAAAACTGGACAGCTACATGTAAAAGAATGAAATTAGAACACTCCCTAACACCATACACAAAAATAAACTCAAAATGGATTAGAGACCTAAATATAAGACTGGACACTATAAAACTCTTAGAGGAAAACATAGAAAGAACACTCATTGACATAAATCACAGCAAGATCTTTTTTGATCCACCTCCTAGAGTAATGGAAATGAAAACAAAAATAAACAAATGGGACCTAATGAAACTTCAAAGCTTTTGCACAGCAAAGGAAACCATAAACAAGACAAAAAGACAACCCTCAGAATGGGAGAAAATATTTGCAAATGAAGAAACTGACAAAGGATTAATCTCCAAAATATATAAACAGCTCATGTGCTCAATATTAAAAAAAAAACCCAATCCAAAAATGGGAAGAAGACCTAGATAGACATTTCTCCAAAGAAGACATACAGATGGCCAAGAAGCACATGAAAAGCTGCTCAACATCACTAATTATGAGAGAAATGCAAATCAAAACTACAATGAGGTATCACCTCACACCAGTTAGAATGGGCTTCATCAGAAAATCTACAAACAACAAATGCTGGAAAGGGTGTGGAGAAAAGGGAACCCTCTTGCACTTGGAATGTAAACTGATACAGCCACTATGGAGAACAGTATGGAGGTTCCTTAAAAAACTAAAAATAGAATTACCATATGACCCAGCAATCCCACTCCTGGGCATATACCGAGAGAAAACCACAATTCAAAAAGACACATGCATCCCACTGTTCATTGCAGCACTATTTACAATAGCCAGGTCATGGAAGCAACCTAAATGCCCATCGACAGACGAATGGATAAAGAAGTTGTGATACATATATACAATGGAATATTACTCAGCCATAAAAAGGAACGAAATTGGATCATTTGTTGAGATGTGGATGGATCCAGAAACTGTCATACAGAGTGAAGTAAGTCAGAAAGAGAAAAACAAATATCGTGTATTAACACGTATATGTGGAACCTAGAAAAACAGTACAGATGAACTGGTTTGCAGGGCAGAAATAGAGACACAGACATAGAGAAGAAACCTATGGACACCAAGGGGGGAAAGCTGCGGGGGGGGGGGGGGTGAGGGGGTGATGAATTGGGCGATTGGGATTGACATGTATACACTGATGTGTATAAAATGGATGACTAATAAGGACCTGATGTATAAAAAAATAAATAAAATTCAAAAAAAAATACCATGTTCATATCACTTTTTCAGTTAAAAAAAAAAAAGATCTTTGCAAATGTTTTCCAGTCTTTTTGCCTGTCAGGCTAACTGCCTATCTCCAGGGAAGAGTAAGGATCCTTCTCTAGAGACGGGCGGCATGTTTAATTAATCTATTATCTTCTCCATTCCTTTGCGCCTATCCCTGGGAAAGTCTCTGGAAACCATCAAGCCTGCTAATGCCTATGTTCCCCTAACTGAATGAGAGCTCTGTGGAAGAAGAAATATAGCACAGAATGATCCTGGGACCGCTCTGGAGTTTTCCAGCAGCTCGAGTTTTAGCTGCCAACCCCTCGACCTGAGCCGACTCTGGAAGCTGCCCTCACCTGGGATTCTGGGCATTGCAGTGGTAGATATACTCCGATATAGTATCATCGTCAAAGAAGTCTGCAAACTTGCGTTTGAAGTCTGGTCGGAATCGCTGTACCAGGCTGGGCCCTGGGAGGGGACAGAACGTGGAGAGGCCGATTTGAATAGGGAGGAAAGACTCCTGCTTTTTTATGTGTTAACAACTTTAACCAAACATTATTTCTCCTAAGGGTTTGTTTGCTTTGTACACTTAATGTTATAGTGGCAGACAGAGCATGGAAGTCTTTTGGGAAGCTCCAGGTGACTACAAATGAGAGTCAGTTGCCAAAGAATTTAGACAGTCTAATGTCACTGAGGAACCAGATTATCTGCAGCTCAATGAAGTCCCAAGATCTTTCTCTCCAAGGATCACAAGCCCCACTGGAGTCCATGGTTGAGATGCTTTGCTTTTACAGTCTGAGCTATGTTCTCTTTCTCCCCGAGACCCTTTATGGCCGTTTAATCTTCTGAAGGTAGTGGATGAAACCAGACCACCTCCCAAGAGCCCTCTCACGTTCAGGCCTGTAATAGAATACGAGTGAAGAGGTAAACCTAATGCTGGCATCTCAGACTCGGGGCACAGTTTTAGAGCAATCTGTTCCCTTCACCTTTCTTTACATAGTACATATACAAGCAGTAGGGCACTTGAAACACACTGTGAAAACTGGGCCTAATGAATGATCAGCTTCTGGCCTCTCTCTTCTGGTCTGCTGTCTCTGTGTGAGAAGCAAGGGGTGAGAGGGAAGCAAAGCCGGGATCCCCTGGGCCCTGGTCCTCCTGCATGGCTGCCAGCCAACCTCCCGAACCATAACAGCTCTGATGCCCATGCATGGACCCGGCCAGAGGCAAGTCCAGAAATGGGGAGAGTGGTTAGAGCAGGGCTTCTCCCTGTAAAAGGATTATAGAAGGTCTGCTGGAGTGCACAGTGCCGGGTGCCCTAAGGAGGTCAGCCCTCTGCGCATTTAGTATCCTTTGGCACCTGTGTCTCTTGCTTTCCTTCCTTTCTCCCCAAACTCCTACCTTCTGCTCAAGTGCTCATTTTTCTCTTTTATCCAGAGCCATTCTGTTTCTCTTGAAGGGCCTAGAGAGACAACTCTTATTCAGCCATTAGCAATTAATTCATAATGATTGGCTATTGAACATTACTGTGTATATACAAGCCATCAGTGCAAAATAGATGGCCACCAATCTTCCGTAAAGGGAATCTGCTTTTCGCTTTATCAGAGTAAAAGGCTCCCCAGATAGGGAGGGTGCTAGCAGTGTGAGGTCAGAAGGCTGGGGCATATTGATCCCACTCACTCTGGCTGGCTCCCCCCTCCTTCCCTCCCTTCACTCACAGGATTTGCTGACAGCTACTAAGTGGTGAAGATGTGGTGTCTGACTGGGGCAGGAGCTTGCCTGCCACTGTGGGCTAGGCTGGAGGCTCTGGTCCTGACCTCTCCTGGCAACAGGTGCTGGGTGAGCTGCAGGGATGGGATCCAGCAGTGGTGACCACGCTGAAACACCAACAAGCTGCCATAAACATGTAGCACAGAAACTCAGCAGAGGAAGAGTCACCTCACAGCCCCTTCCTCTCTCTCTGGGGCACAGAGTAGCAGTTCTGCTCCATCTGTCTCTTGCATGGAAAAGCTTTTTCCATGCAGCTGAAGGAAAATAAGAACCTTCTGAAACTGCAGACAAAGACATCTGGTCCAGATTAACAGCTTTAAATAACAATGTTAGGCCTATTCCCACTTTTCATGAAGAAGAGGGGATGGTGAGAGTCCAGGTGCAGTGGGGATTCTAGAATGGGAGAGCCGTGGTTTGAGGAGATAGTTTTCCATCTATAGGCTACTCACCCCAGGGCCCAGCTACTCGAAGAACAGCCAGTGGATTGGAACGCCCTAGGACAGAGGCCACAGCCTTGACCCAGGTCGGGGGTGCACGGATCTGACTGGGGTCAGTTGGTCGGAGGGGAAAGCCCCATGGGTCCACCAGGATGAGGTGTTTAACTCTACAGGAGGAAAAAGGAGGAGTCAAGTTGTCTTTGCTTGAAGGTATCACAGCCCTTAAATCACCCAGGAAGAGAACTATTGGAAACAAATACCGGAAGTTTCCCAGCAGGGCGAGGAGTTGTCTTGATGGAGATGGGTGGCTCCCCCTTACCTGTCAGGGTACTTGATGGAGTAGGAAGTGGCCAGGAATCCTCCCAGACTGTGCCCCAGGAGGATCATACTGGGGATCCCCATGGTCTCCCGCCACGTCTCTATAGAGGTCACAAACTCGTCCTCGGCCCCCTCTGGGTCCCTCGGGAACGTTGGCCTAGAGCTTCGCCCGAAGCCGAGCAGATCGAAGGTGTGCAGAGTGCGGCGGGCGCTCAGTGAATCCATGTTGAGGATCCAGAGGCCCACGCCGCCCCCAAAGCCATGCACCATCACCAGGGGGGTGCGGTCCCTGAGCTCAGGGCTCACTGTCACCGTCCAGATCTTGTTCTGGTTTGGGAGGGACACATATCGGGCCAGGAACTTGTTCTGGAGGCCTAGGGAGAGGGGTCCAGGGCAGAGCAATAAGACTGTGTGCTGACAGCATCACCCTTTTGCTTGGACTCCCACTCTTCAGTTCTCTCTCATCCCCAAACCCTTCCTGACCTCCCTCGCTTTTCCTTTCACAACTCTCTGACCATACATCCTAAGAGTTCAACTCCAAGTACAATTTGTAGACCGTCTAGTCTGTAGGTATTAAGAGGGGCCATCTTATTCCTTGAGGCTGTTTGGGTCCCTTTGGGTCCATGGTGGCGGTGACCCCACTGACCCCACAGAGCTTCAGCATCTGTCACTCTTGTACCTGTATGTGCTTGGGGCTTGACCCATGGACAGTAGTGTCCTCACTGAGGGTATCTGGGAGGGTTGAGCCAGGTCCCTCTTAGGGACAGACCAAGGTGGGCAATGCTTGCACTGCTGGTGTGAAGGCAGTCACATGACAGAGCTGCCAGGGGCGGGGGGAAGTCACCTGGATCCCAGACAGCTTGAAAGGCTTGAAAACTGTGGCTGTTCTGTGGTTGTACTTCTCCCAGCCCATAAGAGAGAAGGTAGCCATGGCTGGGGCAGTGGCTATAGGGCGGGGAAGATCATATGAGGAATATGGGGAGATGTGGCCCAAGGATCTTGTTTGAGTCGGTGGCTGCTGATGTCCCTGGGATGCCTTAACCCCCACAGAACACTGCCCACTAGAACTGGTCTGTGGGAATCCCCAACCACTCTGGTAACTGGATGGCGGGGTGGGGTGGGGGGCGCTAATTGGGCAGAACACAAGGAATAGTAATATTAGAGAATACAGGACTGCTGGTCCTTGGGTAGGAAGACGGTAAATCTAAGAAGTGCTTGTGTGTTTGATGAGAAAGGGAGAGATGGCAAAAGAAAAGAATAGGAGAAGGAAGAAGTAAAGGAGAGGATGTGTACATTTGTACATGTTGTATGTTAATAGCTGGTACAGGGTTTGAGGTGAAGTTGTGGGATGTGACAGAAACCAGCATGACGGACAGGGAGGGAGATGTCAAGGAACCACTATCATGGAATGTGTGTCCTCTGGGCAAATCTTTTCCCTCCAGTCACAGACATCCCTTCCTCCCACCCCAAGCATTGTCAATCAGGAATCAGTGGGCTTAGTGTGCCAGGCTCCGGGAAGATCCTGTATCCTGGGCCTCCCGAGGGAGGTGGGATGAGTGTCCCTTCTACTTACACTGGAGGATCCTGGCTTCCACATTCTTCAGCTGAGACATGGAAGTGGGGCGCCAAGCGGGCAGCCAGCTGCTCAGCCAGCCTTGAGGCCTGGGACAGGGAGACACAGAGACACTCACTGGCAAAGCTGGAAACACTGATGCTCTCAGGCTCGCCGGCAGTTAGTTACAAAAGAGTTATCAGTGTGCAGGGTGTTTCCAGGCTCAGGAAACCTGCCCCTATGGCAGTCAGCAATTCCATGGCTGCCTGATAGACTGTTACTCTTCTCTGGTAAATGGTTATTAACAACAACATGCCCTTTGTTTCAACAGATACTCAGAATACCATGTGCACAACACTTCACAGTTTACAAAGCCCTTTCACATTTTTTTATCTCATTGGAGCTTTACAACTCCACTTTGTTACTGGTTATTATAATGTTCAAGGAGGTTACAAGGGGAAAAAAGCCAACTTTTAACTAATGTTTCAGTTCTCCTTTGCCATCCCTAGGACTGTATGTTCCCTTAGAGTAGGGAAAATTCCCATGCCACCTGCCCTCCTGGAAGGGCACCAGTGTTTGTGTGTGCCCTCTTCCAAGCCTCTGGAAGTACAGAGCACTGTGTCACTGCCCAGTTGGGCTCTCAGGCAATCAATCAGTCCAGCCTTGAATGACATGATGGGAGAGGCAGGGAGTAGGATGAGGGAGACCTGGGTTCAAGTCCTGCTGTGATTCCCTGACAGGACAAAGGTTGCCCTTGGTTTTGTTTCCAGTTTATGAAATGAGTAGAAAGCTCACACACGTCATCACCTCCAGTGGCATGCAGTAAAACAGACAAGATAACCTATCTTGCTTTCTACTTTATACCCAGGGAACTTTAAGTCATTGCAGGGTAGAGGTTGAAAGTAGCAGTTGTGGAATAATTTTTAAAAACCCTGGATCTAGGGACTTCCCTGGTGGTACAGTAGTTTAGAATCCGCCTGCCAATGCAGGAGACACGGGATCGAGCCCTGGTCCAGGAAGATCCCACATGCCGGGGAGCAACTAAGCCAGTGCACCACAACTACTGGGCCTGCACTCTAAAGCCCACGAGCCACAACTTTTGAGCCCATGTGCCACAACTACTGAAGAGCCCCGTGCTCTGCAACAAGAGAAGCCACCGCAATGAGAAGCCCCCACACTGCAACGAAGAGTAGCCCCTGCTCGCCGCAACTAGAGAAAGCCCACATGCAGCAACGAAGACCCGATGCAGCCAAAAACAAACAAACAAACAAACCCCCCAAAAAATGCTTTAAAAAAAAAAAAACGCCCTGGATCTAAGTCACAATAATATCATTTACAAGCAGACTGGTGTTGGCCTGTTAAATAACCTGTCTTTGAGCATCTAGATATGGAAGGGACCTCATAAGATGCCTGGGACAAAACAGATGCTCAATGAATGAGCTTTTATTATTCCTTTTCCATCCCATATGATATTTCTCTTTTCTTGAACTCTGTCTGGATGAAGTGGATTTCAGGATCCACACCACCAGTTACAGAAAGGGCCTGTAAACATCAGAACAGTCAAGCAGGGGCATTCTGCGGGGAAGCGAGGGGAACTATTACCAACCCCCCCCATGGCACACATTGGGCATCTTGCTACATCATTTGAAGTGCAGAATTTTAGATTAGAATAGTTCCCTAGAAATCTAGTCCAGCCTCTTTATTTTACAGATGAGCAAAGTGATGCCTGAAGAGGTTATACAGCTAGTTAGAAAAAGAAGCAGAACTAGAACCGGGATCTCAAATCCAGGTTTCGCCTTATTTTTTCAAGGCCACACACGAATACTCACATTATACAAGCACAGTTTCACACTTGTCTGTTTTCTGAAAGGAGGTGTGACCTAAGGCCAGAGGCTGAAGTTCTAATCCTGGCATTGCCACTCACCAGCAATGTGCCTTTGGACACATTATTTAGCCTTCTCTGTCAGTTTCCTCATCTTTAAAGGGAGGTAATAATAGTACCTACCTCATAGGGTTGTTATAAAGATCAAATGAATGAATGCACAGAGACATCACACTAGCACAAGATAAAGTCCCAATAAATGCTCTTTTCCCCAGCTAAATCATAAGCTATCTGTATTCCCAGTGTTTTGCAAGTAGCAAATCTCAGTGACTGAGGTTTGAAAGAAATACTGAGGTTGCAGGTGAAACTGGTCCATCAATGGCTTTAGCCAGATGAGAGCTGTCACTCTCAGTCAATGCAGTCCTACAAAGACTCAGAACCCTTTGAATATTCCACTGGAATTCCTTATAGGCTTGAAGCACGGGCACCAAGACCACAGAATGTTGCCAGTCTTAAGAGACAAACCTTCTCTCCACCCCACAGAGACTGTGACAAGTCAGGGCATGTCATCTGGACCTCACATTGCCTTATATCTGCCCAAAGCAGCACTCAGGAGAAATGTTGTTCCAAGGAACAGCATCAAGGGCTGCTCTGCAGAGATACTCTTCAGGGAGAGCTTTTCCTCTCTTCTTCACCAAAAATGCTACTGGTAAAGAACTGGAAATAGTCCCTGGCACACTATCTGCTCCATACCACTGGGGAGATGAGGACTGAGCTGGGGAATTCAGGCAAGAAGCAGAGCAGCCACTTAGCCATGAACTTAGCCTGGCTGGGGTTGTCTCTTCCCTTTAGGGTGCCTTTATCCTGATGGTGGGTGAGGCAGAAGGGGTTCTGTGCTGGGTGAGAAGACTGTTCTAGACCTCTGTGATCTTGAGGTCTCCTAACTTCTTTGGGCACTGGATTCTTCATTTGTAAAAAGGAACTGATCTACCTGAATCTCTACCAGCTCTAATATTCGATTTCTCTAAGTCATCGTAGCTATTGTAAATCTCCTCTTGGAAGTATCATTTTGGAAAAACACCACTCTCCTGGGCAGTTCCTTCAAGTCCAGGAAGGTATTATTGTCATAACGTTAACTAGTTTTGCAAACAGCTCTGAAAAGGGGGGAACAAGGGGGAACACGGGATCCAGGAAAGGCCCAGTTTTGGTGAACACGGCCCCCCCGCCCCCCGCTTGGCTGGAAGCTGAGTCATTCTCCAAGCAACTTTTCCTTGCTCCTATCAGACTGTGAACTGCTTGTCACACCACCTACAGGTGGCATCCCAAACTTGATGTCCTTGAGACGGTGTTAACAAATTCCAAAAGCTCTAATTCTGAAACCGCAGCATTAAGGATATTGTTATGATGATTAAAAACTATCAACAAGGATTGCCAGCGACTAAGCGTCTCGGTTGGCGAGAGCGAAAGAAACTTGCAAGCCTATTAACCCAGACCAATCCCAGCGCAGTGGAGCCCGCTCTCCGCTTGCCACGCCTTACCCGTGCTGGGCTGGGCTAAGCAAGGCTCTTCCCACACCCCTGCCTCCCAACCTGGAGCAAATCCAGACAAGCGGACCTGGCTGTTACCCCCGCACCCGCGTCCACACGCTTGCTTTGGGGGAATCTGGGACATCACCACTAAATCTAATCCCAGGGTACATAGACTAGAGGGGAGCAAGGAATGAACGCGAACACTAAAGTGGAAAGTCAGAACCGCTGGGCTGTAGAAATCGTTCTCTTCCATTCCTCCCCTGGCTCTGCTGCCGCATCTTCTGGGCAAAAGGAAAGCAACCAAATGCAACCCCCCAACCCTCCCCTGAAGCCGACCTGAAAAAGGAAAGTCTGGAAGGTGTCTAAAACTGTTCCTCAGCCACAGACAGTCCCAGGTTCATGGCCCAGAGATAGAGATAGAGAAAGAGACAGGATTAACTCACTGCTGCTCCAGATCATCAGCCATAGTAAACAAGCCCTGCCGGGTCGAGCTGAGCCAGCCCATCCCTCCGCCTGACGCCAGCACCAGCTGACCCAGAAATGGGTAGGATAGCAAAGTGGGGCGTGGCCAGCGCCGCGAACAGGGAGGAGGGGCCCCAGGACGCGGGCTGGGGCTCTGAACCCAGCCAGCTGGGACAGCTGGGACACATGAGATGTCTCCGAGAGCGTCACAGAATAGGACAGTAGTTCTGGTCACATATTTGGGGACAGTGAGGGAGATAAGTAGTACTGAAACTACCGAGTCCCTCACAGGAGCTCCATCAAACCTCTACTCTCTGATAATTAAAAAGTGAATTAACTACCCCGGCACGCTCCCGCACACCCACTGGGCTTCCCTATTATAGCCACCCCATGCCCTCAAGTCCACCCCTTAGTGTTCCTTCTAATCAGATGCTCAAGATGTTTGTGGAGACACTACCCGCCGTTGAATGTGCCTACAAAGGGTCTGAGAGCCTGTGGCCCAAGTAGACTACCAAATTTAGCAAATAAAACCCAGGACGCCTAGTTAAAGTTGAACTGCAGATAAACAGCAAATACTTTTTTGGAGTAAGCATGTCCCATGCAATATTTAGGACATAAATGGGCATCCTGTACTTTATCTGGCCACCCTAAACCTAAGGCACACATGCCAAGACGAGCATTCCTCTGCTCTGGGGTTGTCTTTGGCGCCAGCCTGGTTCCCAGGGACAGGGTGGCTCAACCTCAGGTGTCCGTCAGTTTGGGATCCCTGCCTCCCCTTCCCCAGGGGGAGCAGCTGAAGGATTAGCCTACATAGGTGGGTCCGCTTTAGGTAGCTGGAATGGGGGCTGGAGAGAGAGAGGTCCTGATTGGCTTGCTCAGCAGAGGAGTCAGATCTTAAGGCTGACTCCAGAACTTACCTGAACTGGTAAACAGGGCCTGATGTCCCTGGGGTGGTCATCCTCTTGATTAGGTTAAAACCAGACTAGAGATAGTGGATGGTGGGTGGGAGAATGCTGGTGGTAGGGGTTTGTCAAGGTGGTTTGTTTGGTTTTTTAGCCTTCCTGCAGGACTCAGGAGATCCTGAGATTTCTTCTTTCTTGTAACACAGTGTTAAGCTGATCTGATTAGCATTACAAGGGATTGAAGTTTAAGAGAATAGACATTTATAGACTTTAGGGGTCTAGGAATTTGTAAGATGTGGGGCAAAGTAGTACAAATAGCAGAGGATCTGTCTCTCATTCATTCTTACAACAAAGCAGAGTGGTCCTAAACTTCAGGGTGCATTACAGTCATCTGGCTGGCTTGTTAAAAATTCAGGTTTCCAAATCCCTACCCGCTGAGATTCTAATTCATTTGGTTTGGTTTAATGCTAAAAGCTGCAATTTTAGGAAGCACTTCAGATGCTGAAGTTCAATGAATTCTGGGTGCAGGTCAGTTTTGGTTTTTACCACTTCTCTACTGCATGCTTGTGGGTAAATTATTTAGCATCTCTTTAATTTTCTTCTTCTGTCTTGTAAGAATTAACCAAGATAATTCAAATAAACATTTAATACATTTGTTTATGCTAAAAAGTTACCATTATTATTATTATATACATACCTATTCAAAGCCAAGCATTATGTTAGGCACTAAGAACACCATTATCAAAAGTAAAGAAACACAGGGAATTCCCTGGAAACACAGGGAATTCCCTGGCAGTCCAGTGTTAGAACTCTGAGCTTTCACTACAGAGGGCCCGGATTCAATCCCCGGTCGGGAAACTAAGATCCCACAGGCCGCGCAGCGTGGTCAAAAAAAAAAAAAAAAAGGTAAAGAAACAGGCTGCTCTAGTGGTAAACGTAGGCTTTCTATCTTTTGCCACCCTAGGCTATTTGTCCCTTTGCAGAGTTGGCAACTTTGTTTTGGGAGCTCAGTTCAAACCTCCCCTCTTCTGAGGACTTTGCTGTGACAACAGGGTCTAAAAGAGATGCCCAGTCACTCTATCACATTACTCTATTTATATGCACGATAAATTATCGTGCATATTTGTGGACTCATTTATTATCATTTTCCCTCCACTAGAGCCCAAGTTTCCTGGAGGACCTTGTCTTCTTCTCAGCTTTGCTGCCAGCCCCTAGGACAGAATGTGGCACAGAGTACACAGTCAGTCCTTACTGGAGAAAGAAATGGATGAAAAGTCTAGTGAGGAGGTATATGTATAAACAAGTACCTAAAAAACAATGTGCTAAGTGTTATGGAACGGGAATGTTGCCTGTCATTCCAGTAAACAAAGAATGTTGCCCGCCATCAAGCCATCAGCCAGTGAGGTCTCCCCCTGCACACTCCCACCCCATGGTGCGCCCTGAGGGGAAGTCAGGATGGAGAGAAACAGGAAACATTCTGTGCTCTGGATACTGGCCCTAGAGAGTTAAGATGCATAACTAAGGAATAATTTCAGTGAGCCCCAGATGTTTGCATCTTCCCCATACATAGTAAAGCATTAAAATTAAGTTGAGATTGTCTGTTTTTTGTGATAAGCAGTAATATTTCCATGTTCGACTACGTTTTTGTTTTTGTTTTAAGCAAAAACTGTATATCCTGGCTCCTCTTCGGAGCAGTTCCTCAGAGCTATCTGAGAGCCTGTCTCCCAGGCTACAGTCCTCAGTAAGGTCCCCAAATAAAACTTAACTCTCAACTTCTGGTTTGTGCATTTTTCTCTGATCATCAGTGTCAAGGGCTTTTGGAAGCTATACCATATCGGAAATTCCAGGCTACATCACTCTGAGACAGGGCAACAAAATCTCCCACTTTTCTGAAAACCTGTAAGATGTAGAACTTTTGGGGGCAAGGATGACCTGGCTGGAACTGGTATTAGATGTCTCTAGACCTCATCTCTTGTGGCAGTGCACAGAAGCATTTGTACTTTGTTTCTGTGTGCCAACCCAGCTCTACAGTAGAGGTTGGAGAGAAGTAGGAAACTTGAACATACGGAAAATGCCTTTTATAACCAAAGTTAATAGATCCCTTAAGGCGTCCCTGTTACTGAACTGAACTTGTGTCTGCTCACCACCACACAGCAAAGCTAATTTACTGACACTGGGTTGTGGTGAAGGAAAGTATAGTAGTTATTGCAGGGCCCGGCCAGGAGTACAGGTGGCTTGTGCTCAAAAGACCCGAAATCCCCGATGGCTTTCAGGAAAGGATTTTTTCTTTTTTTAAAAAATTATTTATTTATTAAAAAATTTTTAATCGAAGTTTTTTTATTGAAGTATAGTTGATTTACAGTGCTGTGTTAATTTCTGCTGTACAGCAAAGTGATTCAGTTATACATACATATATATATATTCTTAAATGTTACATTTGAAGTTAGGATTGCAAGGGGCATGACTTTCTTCTGATTGGTTGGTGGTGAGGTAACAGGGTGGTGTTTCAGGAATTTTAATCATCAACCTTTTGGTTCCAACCAGTCTGGGGTCTATGTGCTCGTGCTCAGCATAGAGCCACCATCCTCCAGCTGGGTGGGGATGTTAGTTTCTGCAGAACAACTCAAAGATATATGTCAGATCATTATGCATATCCTTTGAGGAGGAACTTGGGCTGGTTTATCATTGAACAATTGTTTCTTGACTGCTCTGCCTTTGTTTCTGTGTTCCTTCACCTCCCTAATTAGTAACTGCTCGAGTCTGCTCTTTGGCACTCAGGGAAGGCCTAGGAGACCAAAGCCTTTTTCTACAAATAAGAAACAGGGGACACAGAGGGGCTTTTGTACCAGGCAGGGTCCTGCAGGGTTCTGCTTGGTTTCATCCCCAGAGCTGGGATATCTCAGGATTAGGCTGGATCTGTTAGAATTATAGAGTGGAGAAGACTCTTAGGCCTGCTCTAGGCAGGCCTCTGAGGAGAAATGTAAGGTTCTTATTTCTCCTTAACTTCAAGGTAAGATACATTATGTGCAGGTGTATCTTGTACCTCCAACATATGTGATTTTGTAACAGGGAAGAGCCAAATCTGACTACATGTTGGATCTGTTTCTTCTACTTTAACCTTTGATTACTGTTGCTTTTGTTCACTAAAAGGATACTGTCTATACACAATGGCCTGCCTCAGGGAACCCTGCCTCTCTGCCTGAACCAAAGTGCCTTTTTTCAGGGAAACATCCTGACCTGTGGGTGGCTGCAAGAAAGAAGAAATTAACACAACCCCTCCCCAAGGCTGGCCATTCCAGGGGACATTGCAAATCTTATGGTCTTTTTACTTTACTTCTTCATCTCCTCCCCCTCTCTGTTCTATAAAAGGAACTGGCATCCAAACCCCATAAGATGGTTTTTCGGACACACTAGTCTGCCATTTTCTCAGTCTGCCGGCTTTCCGAATAAAGTCGTATTGTATCCCTTGCCTCAACACCTCTCTCCGATTTATTGGCCTTTCGTGCAGCAAGCAGAGCGAGCTGGGACTCGGTAACAATTTTACATATGATTTTATGTGTGATTAAAGTATTAATATGGTCTTTATGGATGGAAACTAATTTTAACAAACCCTCTTGTCGTGGTCTGAACGCGGGTTGGAAAAGAATTTCCAGTCACAGGTAGAATGTAAAGAAGATAGAATTTATTAGAGGAAAGGGTCGCTGCCAGAACAGCGGGCCGACTTCCTGGTAGTCTGGGAGAGTCGAGCCTGAACACGTGCTATTGATCAGTTTTTATAGCCAGAAAACAAAGGAATGGTCCGAGGTGAAAATTTTGTTTACTGATGGTTGAGGCACATATACCTTCCTTCTATAGGGTGGGAGTGAGACAGGGAAGATGCCGTTCCTTATTTGGAACAGGTGGGCTCAGGAATTTTGTAACCATCGCAACATGGTGGGGAGGGCGATTGATTAAGAGTCCAGTAGGGGGTGTCACCTCGAAACTTTTTCAGGCAGGGTCGTCCTTTGTCCTTGAAGCACCATTGTCCTTGGAGCACCACACATCCTTCCTGTGCCTGTAAATCATATTAAATAGTCCAGAAGTAGGTGGAACTGATGACCTGACAGTTCAGGTCTGGCAGGGATAGATCATTCTTTGGTTTCAAATGGGTGTCATCGCCTTTTGAATGAACTATGAAT